TAAAAAAAAAGAAAGAAAGAAAGAAAGGAAAAGAAAAACTACGATGGAACATTCCAGAATAAGTCATATTCTGGGCCATAAAGCAAGCCTTGAGAAACTTCTGGGGTAGGGGTGGGGGTGGGGGGTAATACAATCTACCTCGAATGGTTGATATTAAGATTAAAGATGTCTTCCCTGGCCTGCTACTACCTCTAGTGTACATCCAAGGAATGTTAATTTTTACCAGTCTCTGCCCCAGGTGACCCTCCTCATACCTCAAATTGAGAAGACCACAAGACTCAGGCCTGGGTCCTTGTCACTGCCCACCACCATCTAAAGGGAGACTGGCTGGGTGTCCTATGGGTTGGGGTAAGGTGAGGAAGGAGGCTCAGTCCCTTTTGCCCTGTGGAGACCTCAGACTCCAGCCTCATGCTGGCCAACTCACCCATGGTGTGTCCTGAAGGCAGTGACGTTTTACCAGTGTCCTCACAGGGCTCTCTTGAGAATCTGTGTGGCCTGGAGATGAGAGTTTGGAGAAGATTGAGGAGGGCTGCTGAGGAAGGCAAGAGCAAGTCCCAAGTCACTTCTTCAGGCCTTGGGACAAAATGGAGTCCTTACAGGAAGTTCCATCCCCAAGCATAGAGAGGAGTGTCCTAGGAGTCTGAGGAGAGTTAACTTCCTGTTCTTATTGCCCTCTAAGTTTGCTACCAGCTGGACATTCTGCAAGCTGTTTCTAATGTAGCCGCTCCTACAAAGGTGGTTGACAATAATCTCAATCATGAGGCCTAGAACCCAGATACTTATTGAAACAAACACAGAGAACTCAGTTTGCTGGTCACCTCCAGTGCATTACATTGTATTCATTTACTTTACTCTGCAGACTCAGAAAACTCTGAGTGCCTATTGTAGCCCAAAGTCTGTACTTGCTATATTACTTTTTTCTCCATGTATTCCTCACAAGGGGACTCTGAACCCAGAATCACCAACTTCCTGAAGTTGCTGAGGTTTAATGAGGTATAGGAGCTTGTCTGGAATGATTCAGATGTTACCTGGAGAAACAAAGTGGAAATGAGAACCATGGAATGGTGGGTGACCCCTCTATGCACAGTTTTTCTAAACTCTTATATTATTTGGGTTTTGCTTAAGTTAGGGCAAAGTAAGAGAATATTCTGAAAACACTTGTGTGGCTGGAATTAACTGTAGCCCATCCTAGAGAGAGAATACAAAAAACAGACAAGGAAAATATAAGTCAATAGCAAAAGTTTAGTGGGTCACTGTAATGAAAGTAGAAAAAAATCAAATCTTTTCTCGAAGAAAAAATAAAATGTAGTCAGTGTAGATGGATACTCCTAAATATTAGAGCCAGAAATGTAGCTCCTAAAGTCTCAGGCCAGAGATTGGGAATAAACTAGGAGCCTCCCTGTGGGCTAGGGCATCAGCTAGAACTTTCTGGAATTTTTCACCACTTTGTTACAGTAGGTAACTAGTCAGGCATAAGTGGGGCAGGAGAGAGCTCTCCTCACCCGCCAGGAATTTCAGGTGACCATCAAGTAATGGTCTAGCAGTTGTCACACTGCCTCTCTGAAATAATAACTAATCTCAGTCAGCACCAGGAAGAGGCAGTTTCCCAATAGATGAAAACACCTGAAATTGGTAATTGGCAGCTTCCAATAAGATCTCAGGAACTGAACGAGTGGGCTCAAGCATTCCTTTCTTTCTTTTTCTTTCCTGTTCTAAAGCTTTTAAATAAATTTCCACTACTGCTCTGAAACTTTCCTTGGTCCCCTTTTCTGCCTTATATACCTCAGTTGAATTCTTTCTTCTGAGGAGGCAATAACTGAGGTTGCTGCAGACCCATACATATTTGAACATTTACCACTGGTTACATATTTTGGTGCCATGTGACTCAGATACCTTGGGCCAGTAACACATTGTCTGAAGTCCCTTCTTGGAGCTCAATGCCCTGAGAGAGAAAGTCTAGCCCCTGAGTAAGCTGAAGAGATATCTGCATATGACAGTGTGTGAACATTTGGGGTGAAAAGAGTGTAAGACAGAAAAAGCATACACCTACACAAACTGTGAAGTCATGAGTTTAAATCTGTATTATTCTTGGTTTTATTTTTGTTTTTGAGACAGAGTTTCTCTCTGTCGCCCAGATTGGAGTGTAGTGGTGCAATCTCGGCTCACTGCAACCTTCTCCTCCCAGGTTCAAGCAATTCCCAAGCCTCCCAAGTAGTTGGAATTACAGGTGTGCATCACGATGCCCAGCTAATTTTTGTATTTTTTAGGAGAGAGGGGGTTTCACCATGTTGGCCAGGCTGGTCTCAAACTCCTGACCTCAAGTGATCCACCTGCCTTGGCCTCCCGAAGTGCTGGGATTGCAGGAGTTAGCCATCACACCCAGTCTAAATCTTTATATTTTTATAAAACAATATTATGTGAACATTTTTATAAAATGGTAAATGCTATGGTTCGAATGTTTGTGTTTCTCCAAAATTCATGTTGAAATTTAATCCCCAGTGCAACAGTATTAAGAGGTAGGGTCTTCAGGAAGTAATTAGGTCATGAGAGCTCCACCTTGATAGATGGGATGAGCACCCTTATAAAAGGGCTTGAGAGCGCAAATTCATCCTTTTTTGCCCTTTCTGCTATGTGTGGACCTAGCAAAGGTGCCATTAATGAAGCAAAGAGCAAGCCATCACCTGACACCAAATCTGCTCATGCCTTAATCTTGCACTTTCCAGCCTCCAGAATGCTCAGAAATAAATTTCTACTCTTTATAAATTACTCATTCTATGGCATTCTATTATAGCTGCACAAACAAGGATAGTAAATATATGTGAAATTGTTCATCAATTTATTATTCAATACTTTCAAGTATTTCTCAGTGAATCTCCCTAATTACAAAATATTAAACACTAAAAATGTATACTTAGAAAATAAAATCATTCTGTACTTTTCATTTATAAAATCCCTTCACAGTGACCTATAGTTATCCAAGATATCCAGTGTAATTATACAATGCAAATAGACTGGTGCTCGTTTTTCAGATATGTATCACTTAATTTGTATATATATTTAAAAGATTTATTTACATATAGTATATATTCTTTATTTTTTTCTACACATCTTTTCCAACATACACAACTGCTAGGTAACAGATTTCCACACTGGATTTCCAAAGAATGAACCAGATCATAAAGTATTACCTTCCTGATGTATCTGGCTAGTCTCAGATCAGCTCTGACCTCTCCTCTTAGCCCTGGCTAATGCCTCCTGTCCAAACAATGGCTTTTTATAATTTTTATTTGACAATTCCCCCTCTTTTGGTAAGTGAGAATGTGATAAAAATTCATGGCATCAGTATTACTCTCAGTTGCTATCATTTTCGGTTTCTGGTCTCAACATGCCATTTATAGGTTACAGTGAGTGTCCTCCTCATTACTAAGACAGGATTTTTTCTTGACCTTGACGCCCTTTGTAGGCAGGAACTGGAGTCTCTTGTTTCACTCCACCTGCAGTCCGTGGATGGCTAAGTGTTACAGCTCAGTGTCCTGCACCTGCCCTTTTTGACACCCGAGTTCTTGTTCAGCATCCAGGAAAAATCCCCTTCATGAACGGATTGAAGGGTAGTGTATGCAGAAGATTTTATTGGACGATGGATGTGGCTCTCAGAGGAATGGGGAGCTGGAAACGGGGTGGTGCATGAAGAAGGTGATCTTTCCCTGAAGCCCAACCATCTCCAGCCAAGCTCCCCTCCGAAGCTGCACCATCTAAAGTTAGCCATGTCTATCTGTAGTCTTTGACATTCAGCCACATGCATCCCCAATGTTCAGCAGCTTGTATCCCCAACCACTTACATCAGCCGCTTTTGCTGCTCTTTTTTTTTTCTTTTATTCTGCCAGCTGATCTGGTTTTATGGGCACAGAACAGGGGACAGGGCGGGCCAAAAAGACAACCATATGGGCAGAAAAATGGGGTCAGCTGTTTTTATTTAGGGTCGAGGTTCCAGGTTTGAGGGTTGGTTTTAGACGGAAGCCCAGCCATTCTGTATTATTACTATGCATTTATTTGAGTTGTTTCAGCTAAAGAGACACCAATTTCATGTTTGACAGATAGCTGTAAGGAAACATTTAAAATTTTGTGTGGTCATGTGGTGCATATCTGTAATTCCAGCAAGTCAGGAGGCTGAGGCAAGAGGATTACTTAAGTCCAGGAGTGTGAGACCAACCTGGGCAACATAGTGAGACCTCCGTCTCAGTTAGACCGCATCTCAATTAAAAAACAAACAAAAAGCTATTATGTGGTCAGTGTGTGCAAATGCTTCCATTTTGGTTTACAGAAGTATATTTTACCAAATTGCTGTAAGCTATAGATAGCTTAAAAGAAGAAAAAAGGTTTCCTTGGCTGGGCGTGGTGGCTCACGCCTGTAATCCTAGCATTTTGGGAGGCTGAGGTGGGTGGATCACCTGAGGTCAGGAGTTCAAGACCAGCCTGGCCATCATGGTGAAACCCCATCTTAAAAAAAAAAAAAAGTTTCCTTAAATCTGCAAAAAACATTATAAGAACTAGCAAAGTATCAAATAAAGAAGCCTTAAAAACCCATAACTCTTTTTCATCAGTTTGTTAAACGTGCACTCTGAATTAGGAGACGACCCCAAACAGGCTTTGTGTGAGCAACATGGCTGTCATTCACCTGGGTGTGGGTGGGCTGAGTCCAAAAAGAGAGTCAGTGGAGGGAAGTGGGATAGGAGTTGGTTTTATAGGTTTGAGGTATGCAGTGGAAAGTTACAGAAGTTACAGTTTAGGGCAGTTTTTTCAAGCTGGGTGGGGGTTGTAGGGTCTGGAGGCATGAGGTTGACCAAGGTCAGTCACAAAGTCCACTTGCCTTATCAGTTGAGGCGGGAATACAGAACAATAGAAGAATGTCTCAAGTTAATTAGGCACTGCAGGGGTTAATCATTCTTCCCTTTTTTGTGGTTTTCCAGTTACTTCAGACTTTCTAGTTCCAGGAACTCATCTGGAGAGTCCATGCAGGTTATAGAGGTTACCATGGCAACTGTGGTGCCATCAGTCAGCCTAAAAGACCTTACATAGTTCATTGTGTCTCATGTAATTCTTGCTCTAATCTTGGTCATTAGTTTCACAAACTTAATTTTTTCATTATAATTATGGAAATATAGTCTAATCATCTGAACTCAAAGTTATTAAAAACCTGTACTTGTCAGAATTCTTTTTCTTCTTCCTGTGAATCTCCTTGAAGCTGTGACACTTTAGGATTATAATTGCTTGTGAGACACTTTCAAAAAGCCATCAATATAAAGCTATTAACCGTGGACATCAAGTCTGAAAATAGCCATTGTTAAAAACCTGATTAGAGTCTATTATAATAATGATGCAATTGACAAAAAGAATTTGGTTATTTCTGAACCAAAATTGTGACTAATAGCATTTATACCAAAACATCAGATTTCCAGGAATGTCATACAATTTCGGAACACATATCAATAATATAT